CGCAACGGGGCCACGTGGTCCAGAGGGGTTTTCAACCTTGGGATTGTCAAAGGGAAATCCTTCCTGCTGCCTGGGCTCTCCCCTTCCCACAGCCCCAAATCATTTAATTGGAAGGCAGAAAGTGTGGCTGGCTCCTGCTGTTTGATCCTTTCCGGGAGGCTGTGGGTAATTGAGAGGTCCCCCTTTGTTTGGCTTGGACGAGCAGGACCATGTGGCTCCTTTAGAGCAGTGGTCTCCAACCTTGGGCCTCCAGATGTTCTTGGACTTCAAGTCCAAGAAATCCTGGCCAGCCGGTGGTGGTGAAGGGCTTCATTCAGGGCGGAGTGGGGAAATCCCTTCCTGGTGGTTCACAGAGGACTTTTTATTTGCAAGAGGACAATTTTGACAGATCACTCCCCACTTCAGCTGTTGCAAGACAGCGATTTTACAGCTGATCGGCGCTTTGGAAAACGGCTTTCCTATGGGCGATTTTCGCTGGACAATGACGATTTCCCCGACCCCATTGGAACGCATTGAAGGGGTTTCAGTGCATTCCAATGGGAAAATGCTTTTCGCTAGACGATGTTTTCACAAGACAGCTGTTTCAATGGAACGAATTAACATTGTCTAGCGAGGCACCACTGTATGTGTGCATTCCTAAATGTATTGTACAAATATGTACTACTGAGCTAAAGGGATTACATTATAACATTCACTCCCGCATAAAAAGCACAGATATGGAAGGATTAAACATCCTGACTCTTCTCCAATTCTACAGGTATATTGAAGAAGCCATTGAGAAGCTGAGCAAGCGTCATCAGTACCACATCCGTGTCTATGATCCCAAAGGGGGGCTTGATAATGCCAGGCGCCTGACTGGCTTACATGAGACATCCAACATTAACGAGTTCTCTGCTGGAGTAGCCAATCGTGATGCCAGCATCCGTATCCCAAGAAGTGTGGGCCAAGAAAAGAAGGGCTACTTTGAAGACCGCCGACCCTCCGCCAACTGTGACCCTTATGCTGTGACCGAAGCACTAGTCCGTACATGTATTCTCAATGAAACTGGGGATGAGCCCATTGAGTACAAGAACTAAGTGGACTTTGCCTCACAGGCACCCACTCTCGTTCCCCCCCCTTCCATATTTTCTCTGATGTTTTCTAGATGTTAATCCTGAGGGCGTAAGATACCATGTTTGTTGCTCCCCTCCCCTAAAACTTATCCTCTTGTTTCTTCATGTGGGAGGGGGGGGGAAACTAGTCTTTCAGTGTTTATTCTGTCATTTGAGGGGGCAGGAGAGGAGAAGCGGATGGTAGAGGAAACAAAACCTGGATTAACCACTATTTCATGTAATTCGTGTGTTTGTCTTGAAAAGGTTTCAGTAGTTTCCACAAACAGCACAATGATGTGGAACAATGAGAAATACATATGTTTAGGGTCTAATTAACTCCCTTTCGTTGGATCTGCTGAAATGGAAATGGCTAAAGGCATGTTCATGCTTGATTTGTTCATTTCAGTGATGTTAAAAAAAATGGGGAGTTCAGCATCCTGCCACTAAAAATAGCATGGTATCAACCACCAGGCAGATCCATGAGGGAGCTCCTTCAGGAGCAGAAGGGGATCTTACTAACCCTTTTTATGAAACATAGGGGCACTTTGTGAACTTTCTGCCAGTGTTAGACTCTTTGGGCATTCTTCCAATCTACACTGAATTTTTCCATACCCAAGACTGAAAACTTTTAATTAAAAGTTGTCAGACTTTTGTCAGATCTGTTTTTGGAAGCCATCTGATGTTCTGTTCCTAACACAGAGTGAAGTAGGGTTTTTTTTATATTTAAATGTCTAAAACATTTTTAAAAGTTTTTTTTAAAAGGTCCACTAAAGCCATTTGCAGAAGGACTGGGAATGCTGCAAGTTAAGACTTGGATGGAATGGAAAACCAAGAGGCAAAAAGCTAGTTGAGAAGAGAGAGAGAGACAGAGAGAGATTAATTGTGGGGTGTGTTTCTTCCCCCAAATTTGAGCAGCTTTGAGGGCTTGCTAAAGATAAGGGGCTTTCTGTTTACAAGCTTGTAAGTTAAAATAGGTATTAATTTTTAATTTAAGCTGAAGCCACTGGGCTGTCTGGGCAGAGCCCCATGTGGCTGGCTGAAGCAATGAAAGATGCATTTGTGCTTCAAAGAAAGAGTTGGCTGGTCAACTTTAACCATGTTTATTGATAAGTATTTGGCAGGGAATGGGGTGGGGTAAGGAGCAGGTTAAAATTTCTGATAAGGTGCATGTCAGCTAAAGCAGGGCTTTTGATAAATGAAAAAAAAAGATTGGGAAATGGATTTTTAGAGATTTTAAATAACACATTTTTAGGCATTTCTAGAGCTGTACAGTTTTACAGAGACCACTGTGGTTCCTGTAGGTACATCCTGACACTCATAAAATATATAAATAAATAATAGCCTGCCACTTTTGTCAGGATTCCACTAATAAACATAGCTGCCCTCAGAGGTAATGCTAGTGGGTTCAAAACGTTCCGGGATTTTGTATCTTGGTATCTTGGATGATGCTGATCAGGTTCCGTTGCATTTGGACTTGAGAATAGGTTTTTTTTAATAATAAAAGAACTGCAAACCCGTTTACTTTCTTTTTCTTCATCTTTTCATGCTAACCTATTCATGATTTGCTTTCTGGATGAATCTGCCTTGAAAACTGGAGACATGGCTGGGAACTGGGAGACAGGACACACTTAAGAGCTGAAAGCATGTTCGTTTTTGGGGGTGTGATGAATCTTGGCAGACATTAGTGTTTGGGCAGTCAGACTTCCTAGATACCCCATGCTTAAGTTCTGAAGACATGTCATCTAACAAAGCAAGCTAATTTTTCAGAAATTGAGGGAAACTCTCAGACTGACCCTTCCAGTCAGTCCCTAAGCATTTTCATCCTCTGATGTTTGGATGGATAGCCAGGTATCTGACTGCAGAACCAGAGGTTGGACTTCATCCTCTAATGGTTGGATGGATAGCCAGGTATCTGGCTGCAGAACCAGAGGTTGGAAGTTTGATTCCCCACTATGTCTCCTGCGAATAGAGCCAACCTGTGTGGCTTTGGACAACCTGTACAGTCCCAGGACATCCCCAGAAGAAGAGAATGATAAACCACTTCTGAGTACTGTACTCTCTACCTCAAAAACCCTGGAAATGGTTGCCATAAATTGGAATCAACAGCACATAATACATTCCTATATGGCAAGGTATCTATAATGTGTTTTGGCTATGGAGTTGGGTGTGGTTCATCTAATTTTAGTCTTCAGCGTGATGCCCTTCCAGTGCGTTAACAGTATTCACATCATCTCGAGCTCCCATGCTTAGTCAATCATTTTCTTTCCAGTGTCAGGCAGACAGGTGCCAGGGTGTAAGCTCCATACAAAGATTATGGTCTTCATTCATAGGTATATGAAGTCAGGGAGAGTTAAAAAAGTATTCTCAGCCTTTGGTATTCATGAGTACTGCCCCTGCCATAATGGAGCTACGGCAGACCACTTGGTCAGTCTATCAGCTACTCCTAATCTGTTATTTGTATCCATTCAATGTGTGGGATGGGGGATACTGGGACTTGCAGTACCAGGCAGTACCTTTTTCCAGCCTCTGATGCATTGATGATAGTACAGTATTCATTGTTTTTTCCAGTCCCTTTCCTATGCTTGATTATCCCTCATGTTTTTATTGAGAGACGAAAGGAACGCCTTTCCTTCAGACTGGGATTGCTTTGAAGTTTTCCCGAAAGACAACAGTGTCGCTAGCCGCTGGAAGCTTTTAATAGAATTGTTTTCATGGCAAGCATTCACACTATTGAAATCATTGCCATTCATTCTTCCACACATTTGAGAGGATTCTCACATACAGATGACTGCTCAACTGACTGCCATTTTTCCTAAACTTACGCTGCAGTTCTGGTTGACATACACTTGCCTGGAAGGGTTCCTATTGAACATTCTAGGACTTGTTTTTTAATTGGTTTGCAGCATCGGACTCAAAACTGAGCATTCGGGAACTGTGATGAGAGGAACTGCCATTTCCTCATGGTTTTTAAATGGAAGTCTATACAATTGTGCTCTCCAGATGTTTTCAGCCTCCTCACAGTTTTAGCGAACAGGGATTATTGAAATTGCAGTCCAAAAACATCGGGAGGAGGGATTACAGCTGGCAACACTTGGGCTAAAATCCAGTGCCAACTAGAGTAGACCCTTAAAAATCTGTCAGCAGAACATACTTGTGACACATCCATTTCAGTGGGTCTACTCTAGTTGTCAGGTACTCACATTGGGTTTAGTCCATACTGCCTAGTAAGGTCATCTGAAAAATGAGAGGGAGGGAGCATGTTCTCTTGATTATTGCCTGGAATGAATCACACGAAACAGGAAACTGAAAAAGCTATACTGCTGCATTCTGTACTACAAGCATTCCACAATCAAATAATGTAGGTGGAGAAAGCTGGTATTTTCCAAAAAGTTTTGTTTTTTTAAATTCATGAGACTGATGGACTTTGACATAATCAATGGCCTTCTGCATAGAAGGCCTTCTCCAACTGGAAGGCGGTCACAAGTGGGGTACCGCAAGGCTCAGTCCTGGGACCAGGTGCTCTTCAATATTTTTGTTAATGACTTGGATGAAGGAGTGCAGGGAATGTTTGTTAAATTGCAGATGATACAAAATTGGGTGGAATAGCTAATACCCTAGACCACTGGTTCGTAACCTTGAGTTACTCGAGAGTTTTGGACTGCAACTCCCCCTAGACCACTGGTTCTTAACCTTGAGTTACTCAGGTGTTTTTGAACTGCAACTCCCAGAAACCCCAGCCAGCACAGCTGGTGGTGAAGGCTTCTAGGAGTTGCAGTCCAAAACTCCTGAGTAACCCAAGGTTAAGAACCAGTGCCCTAGACCAGTGGTTCTTAACCTTTGTTACTCAGGTGTTTTTGAACTGCAACTCCCAGAAACCCCAGCCAGCACAGCTGGTGGTGAAGGCTTCTAGGAGTTGCAGTCCAAAAACACCTGAGTAACCCAAGGTTAAGAACCAGTGCCCTAGAACAGTGGTCCCCAACCTTGGGCCTCCAGATGTTTTTGGACTTCAACTCCCAGAAATCCTGGCCAGCAGAGGTGGTGGTGAAGGCTTCTGGGAGTTGTAGTCCAAGAACATCTGGAGGCCCAAGGTTGGAGACCACTGCCCTAGAAGACAGAAACAAAATTCAAAATGACCTTGATAGGATGGAGCACTGGACCGAAAGCAACAGAATGAAATTCAACAGGGATAAGTGCAAAGTACTGCATCTCTGAAAAAGAAACCAATTGCACAGTTACAAGATGGGGGATACCTGGCTTAGCAAAACTACAAGCAAGAAGGATCTTGGAATTGTCGTAGATCACAAGCTAAATATGAGCCAGCAGTGTGATGTGGCTACAAAAAAGGCAAATGCTATTTTAGGCTGCCTGTATTCCTGCATTGAGACTTGTAGGCCCCTTCCAACTTCATTTTTCTATGATTCAATGATAGTTCCACATTCAGGAATTCCCACTGTATGCAGTAGAACCAGAGGTCTCACATATAGACATTCTTATCTTTTAGAGTGGGGCTATCAGCAAGATAAATGTTCTTAGCTGAATTATCTATCTTAAACCAAATAAATTATAAAATTTAGATTCTGTATTCTACCAAGGTGGCTTTTTGAAACACTGCAAAAATATAAAGTAGTTACTGTTGGCTGTATTTTACCCAGATTTTAGACACGGCAACCACTGTCTATTTAGACCATCAGCCGTCCTAGATTCCAACTTTGATTTCAAAGCCAAAAGTAAGTCTAGCCATATAACACTGGAGATATAAGGCAAAGCATCCAATTACTGTTTTGGCCAGTGGTTTTGCAAGAGATGATTCTTTATCGTTTGACAGGATGAAGACTGGAGATAGCTAAAATCTGTTTGTACTGGTGCAAGAGAATAGAATACAGAAAACAATGAAGCCATATGAATGAATGAATGTTGGGAGACTATGGCAACTATAGTCTACCCCACAACCCCCAAAAGGAACTTTTCCAGGTTCTGGCATCTTCGACAGGCCATGGGGAACTTAATGAGATGGCCACCATGGGAAAAACATTGGCAAAAAGAAGAGAAGAAGTAGAAATTATTAGACGCTTCTGCTTTATTATCATTGTCATTAATATTAAGCTTATTGAACTTATTGTTACTGTGAATTGCTGGAAAAAGAATTTGAACAATGGTATGGCCAGAGGATTGGAAAAGACAGGATCATAAAGAAGGCTGACTGCCAAAGAATCGATGCTTTTGAATTGTGGTGCTGGAGGAGACTCTTGAGAGTCCTCTGGACTGCAAGGAGAACAAACCTATCCATTCTGAAGGAAATCAACCCTAAGTGCTCACTGGAAGGTCAGATCCTGAAGCTGAGGCTTCAGTACTTTGGCCATCTCATGAGAAGAGAAGACTCCCTGGAAAAGACCCTGATGTTGGGACAGAGGATGAGATGGTTGGTCAGTGTAATCGAAGCAACCAACATGAATTTGACCCAACGCCGGGAGGCAATGGAAGACAGGAGGGGCTGGCATGCTCTGGTCCATGGGGTCACTTAACAACTAAACAAACAACAACGGATATAATATCCTTTTTGAAGAACTAATTCTACATGTATTTGCCTTGGGAATATGATACTATTCTTTGAACGTATTAGATATACTACCTGCTAAACGTGCATTCCTATTGTAAGCTCACATTTGGAAGATCAACACACATAGGTGGAATGGATGGCTGCCTATCAGCCCCCTAATGGGCTGATTGGCGAGTCCATAGGCAGAATGGGAAGGGCATAGGAAGAGAAATTGAAGAGGGACCACACCAACATTTATAGGAAGAAAACAACAGAATGCTTCAAACACTTAGAAAAGGGCCATGCCATCAACAGGGCAACCTACCACCTGTTGTATCCTGGAGAGCTCCCCCCCCCCTTATCGACTTCCCAAGATACACAAGGAAGGAGCTCCTCTCAGACCCATCAGCAGCAGCATAAACTTGGTAACATATAACATTGCTAAATACCTGGTCACCATCTTAGCATCATTGGTTGGATACATGGACCATCACATTCACAACTCAGAGGAGTTTGCGTCCAAGGTCAAGGAACTGAAACTAAATGCTGATGAAACCATGGTATCCTTTGATGTCACATCCCTCTTCACCAGCATTCCCACCCCCGATGCCCTAACAACTGTAAAAAAAGGAGACTGGAAGAAGACAACACCATCTCCACCAGAAGTAGCCTCAACCCAGACCAGATACGCTTGCTTCTAGACCTGTGTCTGAATACCACTTACATCAGCTACAGAGGTGACTTTTACAGACAGAAACATGACTGTGCCATGGGTTCCCCAGTGTCGCCCATTGTTGCCAACCTATAAATGGAAGAAGTGGAAAAGAAGGCACTAAATACCTGCCAAGGGATGACTCTGACCCATTGGTTCAGGTATGTGGACAACACCTGGGTAAAGATCAAGATTCAGGAAGTACATGCCTTCACAGACCACATAAACACAGAGGACCCAAATATTAAGTTCACCAGGGAAGACACCGAAGAC